TTTTCTATCAATCCAAACATTAATTTTTTTCACATCATTTTCTCACTATTTTCTTTCATATCATTTTCTTTCATCTCATTTTCTCTCCTCATCCAAATAAAGGCTAATGGGAGAAAAAAGTTTTGTACGTGTTTTCTCACCATTTTGGGGGAGAAAACATTTTTAAGTGGGACCGATAGTTTTTTTTTCTATTCTTACTCATTTTCTCATTCAACCAAAAAAGTGAAAATATTTCTTTTCTCACCATCAAATTTCTTTCCTCCCTTTTTCTCATCCTCCAAATGGTGTGCCAAGGTGTATGCTAGAAGAAAGCTTGTACATGCATTCATGCAACAGAAAGCTTTGTACAATTTTGTTTTGTTTTCACTCATATTTCTCATCCAACCAAACAAGTGAAAATATTTCTATTGTCACCATCAATTTTCTTTCCTCTCTTTTTCTCATCATCCAAACAGTGTGTTAAGGGGTATGGTAGATCCCAAGAGTTATGCGGCGGTTTTGAGTAATGGATCGCATAGCAAATTCAACTGGCTCAGTGAATTTCTAATAACAAAGTGTAAACAGGGGCTACTGCCGTCAGCGCATCTGGTGTAGTGGTATCATAGTACCCTCCCACGGTACTGACCGGGGTTCGATTCCCCGGATGCGCATTTTGATTTTTTGCTCTTCCCATTTTGAAAAGGGTCAAAAGGTAAGAGTACATAAACTTTTCTTTAAATAAAAAAAAAAAAGAAATGCCGTTAGAGTACTATGCTGCAAGTGTGCGCGTCGTATAATTTGTTTTAATGGTCATGCAATAGAGTTAATAGTACTCGAAAAAACTAAAACCTAATTATAATTCGAAACAAAAAGTGTTGAACTAAAGTTAAAGCAACCGAATTGGATTGGAAAATAACTTCAAAAGAAGAAGATGCCCCTAGTGGTATAAAGTGATTTATTCAAGCAAATACATGATATACAATTGATTGGTAGCTCATTCTATTTCAGCATACATCTTTCACTATACAAGAATGTCTACATCTCACCTGACCTAAAGAATACACAACAAATTAACCTCATGCTTCAATAATGAAGAGAAAGCCCATGTTCTGCAAGCGTGAAGTGCTCTTAAAGCCCTGTTTGGAATGCTGGAAGCGAATCATGTGTGTCGAGAGTTCGGTGTAAAAAGGAGATGCTTAGTTGGAGCAGCTGAAGCCATGGCAAACAGATAGCCATATTACCAGCACCAAAAAGATGATGATTCCGAGCACAACCAGCTTTATTTTCATGTTCTGATACCACATCTTGCGACGGATTTCAGTCCCCTGTTTCTTGAATTGTTTGGCCTGAAAATTTTCGCGTGCAAAGGAGAGTTTTACTACCCTCATCACATCTTGCCAGTGATTGTTTTGTTAGTAATATCAAATGTTATGAAACCGTACCGAGTTGTGTAGATCTTCTGCCTTGTTGGTAAGTACTGTTAAGTTCTCCCCCCTTTCAATAGTCTGCAACACACGAAAATGTCAAGCCAACAATAAAACCAAATACGGTCGCAACTCTGTTTTGGTATAGAGGGTCATGATGCACGCAACCAGCCTTAAGTTTGTAAAAGACAATAAGAGGCGGTTTCTGTTGGACCCTGGAAGCATTGCTCATTTACTGATAAAAACTTTATAGAAAGTAAGAAACATATGAAGTTTAACATGTCATTTACATATAGTCCATTATTTACCGGAAGCTAATGCGTTGTCAATAGTGACTCTTTTAGCCATTGGTAATGATCGTCAAGCAAAAAAAGTTAATCATATTTACATCTCTAATTATTGTGAAACAAAAATACAATATCTGTATGATTAGAACCCTGGAATTTTGGGAGAATTTTGGGAGATTGATCAAATGTCAAATCAAATTAACACAATGCGCCACTTCCGGAAACAAAGTTGCATTATGACTGTCAAACAATGAAACACATTGATAAAAGCAAAACTAAGTCAGCCTTGTAACTTTGCCATACTTCTTAAATTAAAGATAAAAGTAGCCCATCACAGTATCGAACACACAAGATGACAAGATGACGAGGGGAAACTGAAGGATATGATTTCTAGGGAGGATTATGGCTGAGGAAACTAACTTACATATGCAAGGAGAAGTTCCTTCACCATACCTTGTCTATGTTCTCGAGCATAATGCTTTTAACCTCTGAAACTTGAGCCTTGACCTTAAGTAGTTTCTCAATCTCGTCAGCATGGTCAATTATGTACTTCATGTGTTCCTTCATAACTGGTCTGTAGATTAGGACATGTTTCTTCAAGTTATTGATTTTCCATGTTTGACTACTCCAATGCAAGCAAAAGAAAAGGAAAACGAAAGTAGAAAGAAATATGCACCGATAAAAATGACTACTTGTATCCAAAGAACATACCCAAATTCCTTATTCAAACTCTTTGCAGTAGCGGTATCTGCTTTGCCACCACCATATCTTTTATTAAAATCCGCTTTTACACGTTCCAAAAACGCAATTGATATCTGTTTGCCAACGGATTCTTTGGCCACAACACAATAAGCTGACATGTAAAAAGCATCTCATCAACAACCCACATGATACTATTTTGATACTCACTCATTCATACCGGGAAATTTATTGAAGGGAATTTGCAATTCAGAGATGATGAATCTTTTACACTTTCTTTGGAGGACTATGGCATGGAGGGAATTCATTGTCACTATGCTTTTAGTATAAATTTAGTGTCATACTGTCAATGAACCCTGTATATTAAATGCTACCGACCCGAACGAGTTGGGTTTAAGGTGATGTTAATGAAGATAATGATGCAAATCAAGATAACAATAAGATTTTTAGATCTTTTAACTTTTCCAAGCAGCCTAAGCAGGAGCTCACCACACAGAAAAAGTCTATTACAGCCTATTTCCCCTAGAAAAGTTTCACATTTCTTTTTGGCCTGTCCAAAACAAGGTTTCACATTCCTTCAAAAGAAACAGTTATATGCTTCATTTCATTCCCTTCCCTATCTCAACAACACAATCAAATGTGAAGCCTTATTCTAGAATGGACGGAGGGACGACTATGAACCTAATCTGTAAAAAGTTTAAAACTCATAGAGATTAAAATCTCTAAATAAAGGAGATCCTGAACTGAATTTATTTCCAAAGATGACTAAAAACTAAGCATAACCTTTAGCAGATACAATTAAGAAATGCACATACAATTTGCAGAACCTTTAGCACCAACAAAGCATAAAAGCGCAATTTTAGCTATAAGATCCTAGATCCAACGGCTGGAAATATAAAACAAATTGAATATATAAACAGAATCGAGAGAGATTAAATTTAAAAAAAAAAAAAAAAGCAATACCGTAACCATCTTGAACGAGGAAGTTAAAAGTGTGGTGATCGCAGTTGAAAGTGAACTTATTGTTGGAAGACGGAAGCTTCTGCAGGCAGCGGGCGGCGATCGCCGGGAAGTTACCGGTGAACTCCGTGTACTCCGACAAGACCATAGTTCCCCGAGCAACAAAGCTGTATATGAACGATTCTTGACCCATCCACGTCCACCACCGACAGCAGATTTACCGGGCTTTGACGAAGAAGACTATGTTATTGAGTACTCCGCATTATTACTGTGTTAAAAATGGCGATCGATCCGAGAGATGTTTTACTCGGGGACGAAGGCACGTACAAACGTCATTCGTTTTTTAGAGAACTTACAAGGCACGTAAACGGCGCCGTTCCTTTCGAAATTACTATTTCTAGTCCGTTCTATTTTCATTTTTGAGTTGTGGGAGCTCAATTTATTCCTTCAGAGCAATGAAACTAGCATAGTTTGAACGGGACCGGAGACCGAACCGGTTAAGGTACTGGTTCACTGGTTCACTGGTCGAACCAGTGGTTCAACTGGTCGAACCGATGGTTCAAACATATTTAAAAATTAAATATATATATAAATATATATATATATATATATTATATATATATATATATATATATTATACATAAAGAAAGTAATTTATAATATTTGATTAAAATTATATTAACATACTTGAGTTATTTTACTAAATTAAAAGATAAAATTTACATGTTAAAAATAATATTAAAATTTTATTAAAAACATATCAATGATTTTGTGTTTGACTCATAGCATATAATACTACGTATTATATTTTTAAAATTGAAAAGTAATTTTTATACAATCTTTTTATTAATTACTCCGTATGAAATATTAAAAAAGAGTATACGAATTTAAAACAACAAACACCGTTAGTTGGATGGTTAGGAACTCAACCAAATAGCTAAGAGGTCTTGGGTTCAAACCTCCATGGAGTGAAGTTTTGGAAAAAAATTACAAAAAAAAAATAAAAAAATGGTCGGACCGGTCCGACCGGCCGGTTCTTACCGGTTCAGACCGGTTCGAAGCACATTACAGTCCAATGGGCCGGACCGGACCGGTTGGACCACCGGTTCACGGTCCGAACCGGCCGGTTCGGTCCGGTTTTTAAAACTATGGATGTCACACATGTTCTTTATCGCCACATGTCGTGCCATGCATGCATATTAAATTTCATATTAAATAAACATCATTTTATTATAGTTTATGAACTTTTCATCTTCTAACCTTGTGACTTTCTCACTAAAATAGTTACTAATTTTATGAAAATAAAATAATTAATAAATTTTAATTTTAAATCTATTCACCATTTCCTTTATTTCAAAAAATAAAGTTATGGATTATTGAAATATTCACAATTTCTGTTTTACTAATTTTTAATATTACATCCATCTCAGAGTATTTGTCCACTTTCATTTTTATACATTATCTAATACACTTCTTTAATCAATTTTATCTTGAAATTTGTACTATTATATTAAAAAATTATAGGAATTATATATTAATAAACTATATGTTAAGACAAATCAAACAAAATTATATATGACTATATTTAGACTTACACATTGAGAGAATTTGATGAGTTAAAGTGCTTAGATGAATGAACAGTTACAAAGTGAAAAGTAGACGAATATAGCGGGACGGAGGGAGTATCTAACAAGAGTCAAAACCCTACGTATGCAAAAAAAAAAAAAAAAGAAAAATAATGCATCTACATTAAAATGAAAAAAATAATACAACTATATTAAAATTAAAAATATACTTCTATTAAAATTGATGTATCTTATAACTATAAAAAATAATATCTCATATTGTAAATTTATTAAATTAAATAACTAAAATAAATAACTTTATAATTAGAATGTATAAAAATTAGAATGTATGCGAGCATAGGGGTGGATACGGTACCGGTACGGTACCGTGACCGGAAACGGTACCGCCGGTTCCGGGAGCGGTACCAGTACCGCCCACTCCGGTACTGGTTCCGATGCCCATTTTTCGGTACCGGTTCCAGTTCCGGTACCGTAATTAATTTTTTTTAATTTATATTTTTTATTTCATTCTTTCCTTTATTAATTTCATTTTTAGAGTTTTTTATTTCATCATTTCTTTTAACAATTACACATTTACAATTTTACACTTTAAAAATTTAATAAAAAAGCAAAAAAGGAAATTATGGGTGGCCGAATCGGTACCGAAACCGGAACTGGAACCGCCGGTACCAGAACCGGAACCGGTACCGGCCGATCCGGTACTTCGACCAAAGATGTGTGACAGAATCGTCCACTGCCGCCGAATTTAAAATACACCAAATTGGGGGCCGATACCACCGTGACTAGTACATCCCCCATAGAACTCACCGAGGCATGAATCTCCAAACGCTTCAAGGCCTCGTGGTGCAAAATGCGAAAACCAATTAATTTTTGTGATCTTGAAACGCTTAGCTCTTGGAGTAAGGGGCAGCCGGCCAAGAGTCCCTCTAGCATTTCTCCCGAAACACTTATGAATCTCAAGCGAAGGACCTTCAAACATCGGCACCCTTCCGGCCATGAAAAATTGTAACTCCACATTGGGCAGAATATTAAATCAAAGAAGTTGAGATCCAAAGTCTCGACTTGTTTCGCTGTGACCACGCGGATCCAGCGATCGATGTTTGACGCTATGCGTGGGTCGTTAAGGAAACACACGACTTTAAACTCTTTCAAGTATGGGTATTTCAACCCCTCCAAGAGTAGTCGATCAACCAAACGTACAAAGTCGGACCTACATGAAGGCATCTCCTCCTCTAATGTGTAGCCGAATTTGGGCCGCACTTGTGGCGGTTCCAGAGTTACAGATCCTGAAAAATAGTTTGACCATAAAACCCTCCATTCTTTGCACACCACACTTGTTCTCACTGCTTCTTTCAATGGTAGAAGGGTCAAAATCATCCCAATCACTTCTTCCGGTAATATATTAATCACATCTTTTGTTGTGCTCGAAACAAACTCTTTATCATCTTTCCTGCCCATCTCCATAATTTAGCCTAATACAAAGACAAAAGTTGAACACAAACGTTGTGAATTATTACTAGATTAATATAATGCCAAACGATACCATAATATCTTGGCGCTTTAAAAATATTTTTATTCATAACAAACAATCAACGTGATTAAAAAAAGTGAAATTTGCAATGAATAGGACTAAAACATTAAGTCATGTTAATGTAGGACTTAAACTTTTTTATTCCCTAAATAGGACTTAATAATGACTAGTGAGAAGAAAAATGTCCAAGTGATCCTAGATATTTAGTTGAATAATGACTAATAGATAATGACCAATGGTCCTACATTGGTAAACATAAAAAAACATATGATTTTATATTGAGAAAGTCATTATGTTTTAGTTCTATTTAGGTAAATTACCCTTATAGTTTGATTTTTTTCAACAAATAAATGACAATTTAATTTGTACTCGGGGGAACCGGCACAAGTTTTTGAGGAAAACAGACAACAAGCATTTTGATTCTATAGAGACGACATTCACCTTGGACACACTCATGACTCATCTTCCACATTAAAGATTATCACCTCTATCCACCATAGTTTTTAAAACCGGACCGACATTAGAACCGGTCTCGGAACTGGTTTAGTGGTTCACTGGTCGAACCAGTGGTTCAAGTGGTTGAACCAGTGGTTCATACATATTTTAAAAATTATATATATATATATATATATATATTGAAAAAACTAACATTACAAGCCCAAAAATATAATAGCAATGGAGCCCAAAAAATAAAGCCCATATAAACCCAAATGCACAAAAATCTTTAAAATCCGTAGGAGTGGTATACGAAATCCTAAACAAATTTCATAACCTATCAAATCTTGTGCTTAACTTTTTAGCTACAAAAGTGAACTCATCCGATCAAAACCCTAGCTATTGAAGCTCGAACCAGCCGCCGTCAAAATCAGATTCAAAACATCGGCGTTGAGTCTCCACCCCAAGTCTGCCAACATCGGCGCTTTACCTTTATCTCTCCGCCGTTAAAATTGATTAAAGATACATGCGGAGCTCAAGTTTCTACAGCCAGTAGACTTCGTCGTCTAGGAGCGTTTTCCGGTAACGTTTTCCGGTTCGAAAGTGGGGGTCATCAACGCTGCCACAGCCCACATATCAGATCTGTGTGACCTAGTGTTCCAATCGAAAAAACCAATAGCGGTTTCCGGTTCGACAGCCGGTTGATGCCGGTTCACAGCGGTTGGATGCATGTTGCGGTCTGACCCTTCCAACCGGACCGGTACGGTCACCGGTTCACCGGTTTCCGGTCCGAACCGGCCGGTCCGGTCCGGTTTTTAAAACTATGAATGAAAGTGTACCTCAAATGTACACCACTCCTTTTCCACCTTAAATTTTTATTTGATTTTTATTTACTTACTTTTTTAATATTCTTTTTACCTTTTTTAGTGGACAAGGAGGGGGTGGGGGACATATGAGGTACACCAAAGGTGTACCCTAGCATTTTTCATTACTTTAATATGATTTTTTTGAGTGAAATAGAACACGCATTAAACATCAATTACCTTTTATATGTACTAGCATTGTACCCGTGCGATGCAAGGGAAGTATTTTATTATCATAAATGTCATTAATTAAATTTTAATTAAATTTAAATATCATATACTCCGTGTATATATATATATATATATATATATATATATATATAGGGATTGACTCCAGTCAGATGACACCTTACAGTGAGATGACATGCTACGGTCAGATGACACAAAGCTCACCACAGGCCAATGCAAAGCTCACTAATGGCCAATGTAAAGCTCACCAAAGTGTAAGGCAAAGCTCACCATATTTTTTCAACACTTTGAATTTTTTTCCAAAAAATAAAAAAGCTCACCACATTACACTGCAAAGCTCACCAATGGCCAATGTAAAGCTCACCTGAAAATAAGGCAAAGCTCACCATCTTTCTCCTTTCTTTTTTTCTTTGTCTCTCAAAATCTTTTCAATTTCTATTAAAAAACTATTTTTATACCTACTAAATCTTACCATACCTATCATATCATACATTTTTATTAATAATCTACCCGTAAAATCTTATTTTTAGTCATCACATTAGGAATATTTTTAGAAAATCAAGACAAAGATATCCCTTCCTTAATTCTTCTAAAAGTCTAAATGGAAAGGACATTAAGGATGGTGAAAATATAACATTATAGTTCACATATGTCATAAAATCACAAATTAATAATACTCTTTCATTTAAAATATAAAATACATATT